CATTGAAGGGTTGCAGTTGAAGTCGATGGTATTTAATGGAAATAGTCTTGTTAAATATTAATCAGCAACAGGTAAAATGTTTTCACTGTTTAGTTATCTGTGTACAATCTTACCTCAAACGCAACGCATCGTCCTCTGGGCTTCAGGCGCTCTTCCACTATTTTCCACTCTTCCCAGTCTCAGTGATCAATAAAGATTTAATGACTGAATGTCTCTTCGTGTAAGATCCAACATCAAGAGCCAGCACATCACCTTCATCCCCGATTTCAGTTTAAAAGAGCGCACTATAAGGCGAGCGCACACATAATCCGCATAATCAACTTTTGTATGGCTAAAACATTGACATAAGACAACCCATTTAAGCAGCTATCGGTTCCCAAGTACCTAATAAATGTAAAACTGTGCGTGTCGTGTTGTCCTCCGTGAGAAGGTCGCGTTGTCCAGCTGGGTTCAGGTGGAGAGGTGCTGCTCTCTCCATGCGCGCGCGCTGTAATGGGTTTGGCTGGTCATCCGCGCGCGCAACAGGACCCGAGCAGAGGACTTCGCACGTCACAGACACATGCTTTCTGTTTTTTGACCTACACTATATCCTTCTAGACATGCATGGATCTGCCCGCTATACGACGTCCTAATGCGGGATTTATTGATTAGATTGGAGTATATTAATGCGTCAGGATCACTCACAGCTGTGACCGCACATAAAACTGTCTTGCACGAAAACGTAGCAGTGTAAAGTTTTATTGTCTTTTTATGATCCCTATGCCTTTGAAAACACACTATGCACACCATACTTCCAGTGTCATGTGCATAAAAAATGTGTTCTCCTGAATTAGGCCTACACCAGAAATGTGTTATTCTGGATGCACTAAGAATGAAAACCCTTTTTTTTGGTGCCTCAAATATCAAATTGGGCAATAAAGTGACTTCAATATTTATTTATGAAGTTCCTCAGAGTTATTATACTTGTGTCATAGTGATGGAGTCTTTAGAGTTCTTGCAGGGTTCAGTTTTGTAGGTTCTTCAGTGATTTGTCGTTTCTGAAAGGGTGAATGCCTCAGTAAATCTTTACTACCAGGGTGAACGGCCCCGGTGCGCAAAACCAGTGAAAAACTCTATTGTCTGAGAACTTTAAGGGCATATTTTACTGGTGTAATGAAATGACAAGGGTGTGTATGTCTGCATTCCAGGTTCACAATACAGTTCTAATAGCAAATATGAAGTTTAATATATGCAGTAAAAGAGAAATGCTTTTTTTTTTTTTTTAGTTTAGTTTACAAAGCTTTGATGTCAGTTAAAATCATAAGATATATATATTTTTTCAGTTGCATACGGAATGTAGTTTATTTATATTTTCTGAATGGTTTTCAGTATTTTCAGTATGGAACCTGCATCTCCATTAATTGTAGCCCAAGACCGGATTAAACCCGGTTCATCCATGAAACTGCATTCAAATGTTATTGTTGAGAATCAGTGTTGGGGAAAGTTACTTTTAAAAGTACTGCATTACAATATTGTGTTACTCCCCAAAAAAGTAAACTAATTGTGTTACTTTTATGAAAAGTAATGCGTTACATTACTTTTGCGTTTCTTTTTCTCACCTGGGCTGGGCTTGCTTTTTTTAAAAGTGAAATTTAGCTATTTAGCTATGCATTTACTGAATGAGCACTGTGCCACTGTTCGTCCGACTGTTTTTACTGTACTTTATTTTATTTTTTATTCTAAACTGTTTTAATTATTCTTATTTGTTTTGATTATTTTAATTTCTTCTATGTAAAGCACTTTGAATTACCATTGTGTATGAAATGTGCTATATAAATAAACTTGCCTTGCCTAATCATCATCAGGCTGAAGGAAATGCACATTTACGCCTGTACAGTAGAGGGCGCCGCTCAAACAAACCTGTCAGCTGTGCTGCTGTTTTGAACAATAGGACACAGGAGAAGGAAGTTCAACACTCTTATTTCTAAATCTAATCTAAAGTAAGTATTGCTTATTAGTCTGGCTGAATTGGATCACTGAAGAACAGCAGCAAAGACACTGGATAATAAAGTGAGATTAAATACATAAATTATATTTGTTTTAGTTAATTATAAAAGTTTTGCGTAAAATTCTGAGATTGCATTTTACTGTTTTTATTCTTTTTGAGCAATACTGAATGTTTTTGTTCACATTTGTTTAAATGCATGTTCACATTTAGTCTAGAACTAAAATAAGCATCATGTTTACACCGCACACACAACCCCTCCTCACTTTATTTCTCTCAACATGAGAGCCCAGGAGAGCTGACAGTCAAGAAATGTGAACTATTGCGTTACTTTGAAAAAGTAACTTAGATATTTTGTTGTAAATTGAAAAAGTAATGCGTTACTTTACTAGTAACTTGAAAAAGTAATCTGATTACGTAACTCAAGTTACTTCTTGGCTTTTAATCTCACAATTTCGACTTCTTAATCTTATAACTATGACTTTTTAATAGCATATTTATGATTTACCAAAGCATTAAAAAATGATGGAATTTAATGATTAAATGATGGAGCATTTAAAAAAAATGGAAGGCATTGTATTGTAAGTGATTTCTAGACAAATCAGCACATGGATAGTTGCTAAATGCCTAAATCCTCCAACATGTCCAGTTTCATGAAAAAGCACCTCTGATCGACACACTATCATCACAGAGCTGTAAAATGTTCTCTGCCTCGGGTTTTTCTTGCCATCTGGGATTTAAGCTCAGCGTGTGGCTACCTGCAGTTACTAACACTTATATGTAATTTGTGCACTTTGACGCAAGTCACTTTGACAAGAGTCTGACCGGACCACTGATGTAACTGTGCTTTCAGAGTCTCACATCCACAGATGCAAAGACATCATGGGGTTCAAATCGTGAGGAACATGCTCTTAAAGCCTGCCGATCACACACACCATACATTAGTCTGTTCTTTGCTGAAAAAGAAAGTCCAAGAAGTCCATGTCTAAAACTGCAGGTGCAACAATCACAAAAACTGAAAAACTATTAGGGAGAATGTGTCACGAAACACACATGGGAACGATAGATCCAGTTGCAGTATTTAATTTAGTGTAATCCAAATCGTAGTCATCCAGACAAGGTCAAAGTCCATATATCAATCCAAAATACAAAACAACAAGAAACAGACTAGAAAGACAGACCTCAGAAGTGTAGTGACAATTAGTGACGACTCCGTGACAAGGACTAAAACAGACAGGGTATTTATACACAAAAACTAAACAATGTAATAAGAAACAGCTGCATGCAATGATGAGTAATGAGGACAGACAAAGGATCGTGGGAAATGCAGTTCCAGAATGAACGGTGATAGTAAGGGAGAGAGACCTCTAGTGGAACACCCGGGGAAACACAAACCAGACACTGTGACATAACACTGTGACACTGTGGCTCAGGCACAGGAGCAGGCACCGGCTCAGGCACAGGCACAGGAGCAGGCACCGGCTCAGGCACAGGAGCAGGCACCGGCTCAGGCACAGGAGCAGGCACCGGCTCAGGCACAGGAGCAGGCACCGGCTCAGGCACAGGAGCAGGCACCGGCTCAGGCACAGAAGCAGGCACCGGCTCAGGCACAGGAGCAGGCACCGGCTCAGGCACAGGCACAGGAGCAGGCACCGGCTCAGGCACAGGAGCAGGCACCGGCACCGGCTCAGGCACAGGAGCAGGCACCGGCTCAGGCACAGGAGCAGGCACCGGCTCAGGCACAGGAGCAGGCACCGGCTCAGGCACAGGAGCAGGCATCGGCTCAGGCACAGGAGCAGGCACCGGCTCAGGCACAGGCACAGGAGCAGGCACCGGCTCAGGCACAGGAGCAGGCACCGGCTCAGGCACAGGAGCAGGAGCAGGCACCGGCTCAGGCACAGGAGCAGGAGCAGGCACCGGCTCAGGCACAGGCACAGGAGCAGGCACCGGCTCAGGCACAGGAGCAGGCACCGGCTCAGGCACAGGAGCAGGCACCGGCTCAGGCACAGGAGCAGGCACCGGCTCAGGCACAGGCACAGGAGCAGGCACCGGCCAGGCACAGGAGCAGGCACCGGCTCAGGCACAGGAGCAGGCACCGGCTCAGGCACAGGAGCAGGCATCGGCTCAGGCTCAGGCACAGGAGCAGGCACCGGCTCAGGCACAGGCACAGGAGCAGGCACCGGCTCAGGCACAGGAGCAGGCACCGGCTCAGGCACAGGAGCAGGCACCGGCTCAGGCACAGGCACAGGAGCAGGCGCAGGCACAGGAGCAGGCACAGGAGCAGGCACAGGAACAGGAGCAGGCACAGGAACAGGAGCAGGCACAGGAACAGGAGCAGGCACAGGAACAGGAGCAGGCACAGGAACAGGAGCAGGCACAGGAACAGGAGCAGGCACCGGCTCAGGAACAGACACCGGCTCAGCAACAGACACCGGCTCAGCAACAGACACCGGCTCAGCAACAGACACCGGCTCGGCGGCGGTCATCTTGTCCGGAGACACAGGCTCGGCTGACGTGACGTGAACAGTCTCTGGATCGGCAGACGTGACGTGAACAGTCTCTGGATCGGCAGACGTGACGTGAACAGTCTCTGGATCGGCCAACGCGACCTGAACAGTCTCTGGATCAGCAGACGTCCTGTGTCTCCACGCATGGAATACCGCCACTGCATAAAAGAGGAAGACAGCCTTTTTGGCCGTGGCAGGACTGACGGTGGGCAGCTCCGAGACGATCTCAGGGCTGACAGCGGGCTGCACAGGGACGACCTCCGGTATGACATCGTGATGCACGGGAACGACCTCCAGGATGACAGCCTGCTGCACGGGAACGACCTCCAGGATCACCAGACTCGGGACCACCTGGACAGTCACGGAGGAAGTCTTCCTTCTCCTCCTCCGTTTTGGGACCACCGGAACTGGAACCACCGGAACAGGGACCACCGGAACCAGCGGTGAAGGACGCTCGGGGCTGAACATCACCGGACCATGGTCAGGTCAGAGAATGACCGAAATGGAGAATGCTGTCGGTGCTCACCTCTAGTATGTCCTCCCCTACGTCCTCCACAAGTTCCCCTAAACTTGACCAGACGGGTTCCCCTAAAAGGCTCTCTGTCCCAGGTGGAAGGCTGCTCAGGGGACTTGACCGCCACGGCCTCCTCAGTCTGGCGGGTCCATCACGCCAGGCACTGAAAAATGTTCATACGAGGGGGAACCTCTTCAACTCTTGAACTCCCCCTCTGCTGCCTCCTCTCTGACCTCGTGGTTGAGGAAAACCCGCAAAAATCCATACTGCTGGATCTTGTAGTGACGGAGTCGTTCTGTCACGAAACACACACGGGAACGATAGATCCAGTTGCAGTATTTAATGAAGTGTAATCCAAATCGTAGTCATCCAGACAAGGTCAAAGTCCATATATCAATCCAAAATACAAAACAACAATAAACAAAACAAGAAACAGACTAGAAAGACAGACCTCAGAAGTGTGGTGACAATTAGTGACAACTCAGTGACAAGGACTAAAACAGACAGGGTATTTATACACAGAAACTAAACAATGTAATAAGAAACAGCTGCGTGCAATGAGGAAAGCCAAAGGATCGTGGGAAATGCAGTTCCAGAATGAACGGTGATAGTAAGGGAGAGAGACCTCTAGTGGAACACCCGGGGAAACACAAACCAGACACTGTGACAGAATGACTCAAAATTAATGATAGTGTATAACACACACGGACAACTTTACAGGCATAAATTATCATACTAACTCATTAGAATATGAGATAAAAAGTCAAAATTACAACATGTCAGTTATGAAATTGTCAAAATTATGAGAAAAACAGTTAGTCAAATTATGTTAGTCATCATGTGAAAAAAATCATTGTACTAATACATATTAAGTCAGTTTTAAGATTTTCTCATATATGACTTATAATTAGGACATACAAAGTTAAACTTATTTAAAAAAATAATCATAATTGACTAAATATTTTTGTCACAATTTTTACTATATTTTATGACATGTCACAATCTCCACTTTTTATCTCATAATTTTGATATTTTATTGCATAACTTTTCTCAACTATGAATGATCATTTTCTTAACTATGAATACCAAAAGCATGCTTTTTTAGTTTATAAAAAGTTGAAATTGTGAGGGAATAAAGTCTAAATTGTGAAATGAAAGGAAGTCAATATTTTTTCATCATAAGTCAAAATTATGATTAAATATCAAAATTATGAGATAAAAAGAGGAAATGGTGACATACTGTACTAAGTCATAAAATAGCCAAAATTCTGACAATTTTTTTAATCATATTTTTTTTAAATCATGAGGAATTAGAAAAAAGTCAAAATTGAGACAATTTCTTATGTGACATAATTGTGTTTCCATAGGGACAATGGTAGTTGAGTCTAAACTAAAAGCAGAAAGTTGTAGAGTATGGCAGACAGTTAAAGGGATAGTTCACTTTGAAATTAATTTTTGATATGTTTTAGCTTACCTCAAGGGCATCCAAGATGTAGGTGTCTTTGTTTCCGCAGTAGTTTCAATTTTGATATGTTTAGGTCAAACCGTTCTTGTCTGTCAGTCATATAATGCAGGTCTATGGTCACCACCTCAAAGAGCATGCACAGAGAAGTCCAAATTAAACATGATTCAATGACTCGTAAATGCAATAGCCTAAGCGGTTTGTGTGAGAAAACGAACAGTATTTATATATTTTTTACCTCTTGTAAACACAGCCACGTCCAAGTGATCTGAGGGCGCAGGCGCTTCGGTCTGCGCAAGCGCCGGAAAGCGCCGGAAGTGATCTCTCGCTCGTGTACGTCACTCATTGTTTACACAGAGATTTCGGAAGTGTTACCTTTCACTGTGAAGATCTAAACATTTTTAGATACAGGAAATCACAATGGAAGACGATTTCGATTTACCAACAGACAACGTTGAATTTTTTCACAATATTTAGATCACTAGAGGTAAAAACGATATAAATACTGTTCGTTTTCTCACACAAACCGCTCGTTTCGTGTCTTAGGCCATTGCATTTACGAGTCATTAAATCATGTTTAATTTGGACTTCTCTGTGCATGCTCTTTGAGGTGGTGACCATAGACCTGCATTATATGACTGACAGACAAGAACGGTTTGACCTAAAAATATCAAAATTGAAACTTCTGCGGAAACAAAGACACCTACATCTTGGATGCCCTTGAGGTAAGCTAAAACATATCAAAAATTAATTTCAAAGTGAACTATCAATTTAAGGAGGAAAATGAAGTTTCATATCATCCATATGTCGGCAATACTGTGGTTTCTAATCAGTCTGTATTGACTTGGAAGTCTTAAAGGGATAGTTCACCCCCCAAAAAAATTACATTCTCTCATAATTTACTTTTCAAAAAGGAAGTCATAATGTGGAAAGACATGATAGTTCAATGTTCCTTTTATTATGTTCTCTGGTACTCGGTTCATAAACGTTCATAGATCCGTAGAGTTTGTTTTGTTTAATATAAAACAGAAAGACAGACGCATCTGTGGAGCTTCCACAGATCAATGGAGAAATGGATAATAAAGATGGTCAAATAAAATGCAGGATGACCAAAAGAAGGATAATGAACAGATACAGGAAGAGGAGGAGCAGACAAACACACAAACAAAGGACAAACACACCTAAATCACCCTGCACCGTGTATGATCACAACACGACCTCATAGTCCAGTCAAATTTATTTGTATAGTGTTTTCTTCACAATACACATTGTTTTAAAGTAGCTTTACAGAAAATCATTACGTCAAAGTTTATAATATCTTAATATGCAAAAATGAAAGCTTCTTTATTGGCATGTATGTTTAACCTTTAACAACGTGGAACCTTTCCGTTCCACAGGAGGTTCTTTTTTATTTTATTTTTTTTTTTTATTTTTTTATGAATATGGTTTATGTCATGGTGAATTAAAAACTATTTGAAAGTTTTTTTTTTAATTATTATTATTATTTCAGATTAAAACCAAATCATTACAATAGTCCAAACAGCATCATCCTTCATCCAGTAGTAGGTCCAGCGCATTTATAGAAAGGTCAAGTTTTTTTAAACTGCAGAATGAGGATGTAAAAGACATGAAACGGCAGAAACTGAATCTGTCTCTCCTCCTCTTTAGTGAAGGACTCCGTGAAACTCTTCTGTATCTCTCCTCCGCTCAAATGTGCCAACGGGCTAGTGTTGACCATGTTGACACAGGCATAAAAACATCATTAGAGCCATTCTGAGCTTATCAGTTTTTTTTATGGCATTGTTCACATTATCATTGGATGCTGCACTGCTTTTGTCCTGCATCATTCCAAACTATGGACTCTCACTGCGGCTAATGTTGCTTAAATGAGTTCAGTCCCGCCTCAGGAAACCTAAAGGACATTAGTAAGGTATGAGATGATGGCAGACATGAAGCTGTCAAGAGTGCTGATAAGAGTATGATGCTCAGTTTTGCACGAGTGTAGTGTAAATGCAGAATGTTCGTAAAATAAATAAATACATTTTCAAATTTATTATGTAGAATTGCATAGCGCCTATAATATCACTATTTTCATTTATTGTGTTTTAGGATGGTCTCGCATGAGACTTTCTATAATCTAAATCTCTTCTTTGATGTTCTATCATGAATTCCTCTGTTAACCACTAGATGGCACTATAAGATTTTTTTTAGTTCACCAAACTTTACATCAATCAAAAGTTCATCCTTATTAATATGAGTTACCGTTTTGTTACTCTTTAGCACTTAGCAGTGTAATATAATTACAGATTACGATATCAAGAACGATAAATATTTATACATAGCTATTTTATTTTGTACTAATAGTTCATTGGTATTTAAGTCAGTTAATTTGAAACTAACTGGACACAATTTTAAGGAGTTTGAGCAAGCTTTATCTTCCTAAAATTCTAAATCTAACACGTTGCGCAGTTTATTTTCCTCTTACATACAATTTCCTCAAGCTGCATGCATATGCCTTCAGTCTTTTCTTTCTTTTCTTTTTTTGGTTACCGCATCCGGCCTCCCTCAAGGTTTCACAACAGCATCTCAACTAAACGCTTTCACAACTGAGATCCATCCGAAATTGTTTTTTTTTTTTTTTTTTTACCTTTAGGAACAAAAATGATGAGAGTTTCGTCAGAAAACATTTGAAGATGCACTTTCTGCACTCCGTTTTCATGTTCATGTTCGTAATATCTGATGGTATGTAGCCTCTACGTTTATGTTTAATGCAACAGGAAAAAAAACTCACTTTACATAACCCTCTTTACAATTATTTGGTATTTAAAAACAAAATATTTATTTCTTTATTTTTTTTGTGGTGACCGCGTCTCTTCCCTTGACTTTTCAACATGAAGTCCACGACATTAGAAATGTTTAAATGTCGTTTGTCGATATTTCCGGAAGTAATAACTGTTTGACACGCGCGGCGTACTTCTTAAGACCCTTTAAACTACTAGCAGCTACTACTACTACTACTACATGTAGCCTACTACTACTAGCTACTACTACTACTATTATTACTACTACTCCCTCTACTAGCCTACTACTAGCCTACTAGACCTACTATTGTTATTGTTATTACAATATTATGAACTATTGTTGTTTTAAACTGTCTTCTTTATCTAGAGTTGGGTGAAAAGATCCACATCTTTTTTTCCTCTTTTCAAAACATCAACCTAAAAATGTAGCCTTATTATAAAAAAAAATCATGTATTAAAATATATATATATTTAATTTTAAGTTGCAATTTCTATTATAAATTATCTTATAACTGTACCCGTATATACTATATCTATAAATCTAAATATCTTGCCTTATTTTTGTTTGTTTGTGTTTTTTTTTATACACATTGGTTGTAGTGTGATTGGTCTCTTACTTTTTAAGCTACTGTGTCTTGTTAATTTGTGTTTTTTTTTTTTTTTTCAATAAAAAAGACTCTTTAAACCCCCAGAGTAATTCACAGCCTAATTATATTTTTGTATAAATTGTATTTAAATAATTTGTGTTAAAAGCTCTGACATATATATTTTTATTTTAAGAAGGTACCCTGGAGTTTATTGTTTGAGGTTCTGGTCCTCTGGTTGCTCCGCTGGGAGGTTCAGTGGTACTGCCCTGTTATACTGAGATACCGGTAGAAACGGAGAAGCTGAAAGTTGTATGGAGAAGAACAGACTCAGAGTCTCTGGTTCATCTGTATGAAGATGGTGAGAGTCGAGCAGAGGCCCAGCAGCAGGATTATCAGGATAGAGCTCATTTCTTTACTGATCAGATTCAACATGGAAACTTCTCCCTCCGTCTGGACAATTTGAGAACAGAAGACAAAGGCGTTTACAGATGTAAAGTTTACAGTCAACAGTTTGCTGACAAAACTTTAGTTGAAATAAAAGATGTTGGTGAGTGTGAATCATTTCCGCCCTACTTTAAATTTGTTTAAAACAAAAACAAGGCTGAATACTGAATGTATGTAATATTTTATTCGGAAACACTTCTTTCTTTTAGAGTACTTGCAAGTATCAGGATCGAGTCGCTCCATATCTGCGTCTGTGGGTGAGGACGTCACTCTGAACTGCTCTGTCGACTCTCACATCAAACCTGAACACATTGAAGAGGTTTCATGGAGGAAAACAGATGAAGATGAAGATATTCTGGTTCTGCTCTACCAGAACAATGAAGCTTTTCCAGATTCATCAGATGAGCAATACAGAGACAGAGTTGAGTTCTTCACTGATGAAATCCCCAAAGGAAACTTCTCTCTCAGACTGAAGAGTGTCAGAACTGAGGACAAAGGAGTTTACATCTGTCAAGTGTTTGCTGGAGTACTTTCAGCCAATGCAACTGTGCTACTGGAGAGACTGGGTGAGTCGACAGATAAATCAGAAAACAATGTAAACCTGAAAACTTGTGTTTTTAATGATTTTATTCTCTTTGAAGAAATGTTTATACATAGAACTAAAGGGACTGATCACACACACCTCATGTTACAGGAACCCATAAACAATAGTTTAGAAAGACGAAATTAGATAAACCTATAGCCTGTTCTTTGTAGCCTAATGTGTATAATCTTTCAAAGGCTCCAAACATGGTACCGTAATAACATTTAATGTATTTTGTTTTTGTTAAATGAATAGGCATATGCATTTTGTGGTAATAATAATACAGTTTAATTTTTTTGCTGTACCGTATGTTACATTATTGTTATGGAGGGTTGAAGTTTTTGTTTATATTTGTATAATCAATAATTATGGAAATTGTTAGGTCACTTTATTACAGAGGCACAGAGCCCCTAAAGAGATGGAAAATATTATATGGGAGGAAAAAAATATATTTCAAAGTTTTGCATTCCCCCAAAAACCTTGCATTCGCTCGCAAAACGTTTGTGTTCTTTACAAGCGAACTCAAAGTTTCTCGGGGGAACGCAAACATTTTGCGAGAGAAAGCAAAAAGCATTGACTTAAATAACTTACTTATTCTTATTTTTTTCTTTGCCATGTCCCTTTAGAGGCTCCAGACTCCATCAATGCAAGAAATGCTCAATGTAAACTTGGGGCCTGAAGAAAACAAAATCATTGAGAAACATTGACCTAGATTAGAACCAATAGACTTAGAAACATTCTAAATAGAACCGTAATCAAACTTTTCGAGTGATACAGCAGCAACAAATTCTAAATAAGCTTACTCCTAAAATTCCATTTGGCCGTTTAGTTGCACACAGTGTCCCATAATGCTGTTGTGTAACTGATGTCTGTGTTTCAGGTTTCTCTGTTTCACATACAACGGTGTTGATTCTCTGTATTATTGCATCTGGATATGCACTGTTTTTTTGCCTCAGACGAGGAAATGGAGGTATGTATGCTTCAGAAAATGTATTCAGAATTTTTTTTATAATTAATTTTCATTTCTTACTGGAATTGCTGTGTATCTCTCCACTAGACACAAGGCTGTATCTTCAAGTTTCTTTTTTCCTTTGCCCGAATATTACTATGCTGTTGGCTTCTATCATCTGGCGTGTTTTGGAAGGTATTTCATCAGAACTATTTTATCTAAGATCTATTACATTCACATCACAACATAGACCTTACATTTAATTTAGTTCTGTTAAGGTACAGTATCTCTTAATCGTTTTAGAATGACTTTACAAATGCTCCACCAGACTTGCTTCACTGTCTTCATGATATTGCTGAGTTATACAGTATTTCATCACAGAAATGATGTGTTTCAGGTTCTTTGTATGAGACCTTCTGTTGCTGTGTGCTCTATATTCTCAGCCCTCTGAGGTCATTTTGGGTTACACCATTAGCCACAGTTGTTCCAGGTTTGTTTTTTAAATCAAATATATAACACACATAGCTGTGTCTACTGAGATTTATTTACATTTCTCTAACAGAAGAAAGGGATTAATAAAAAAAATACATTTCTGTTTTAATACTGTTTTAGTGCTTTGCATGATTTTTTTTTTTTTTTTTTTTTTTTGCAGATACGATTCTGAAGTATATTATGATTCCACATGCTAACCATGCAGTATGTCTGGCGGCAATGTATTCAGGTTGGTAAATCCACAATTTGGTAAAGTAAAAACTGTTGGTCTCGAAATGTAATATATTCCATAATAATTTTACAACAGTGTAAAATAACAGCTTTTCCCATTTATTTGTCACTGTTTTGTATTTAAAATTGCACCTAATTTTCCGACAAGAATTTATTTTGGTTCTGTTGTAATACAGAAGTAGTGTATTTGTTATTGTTCATCATTCAAGCTCATTTTCCAGTGTTTAAATTAATAATATAAATTTCTGTCAGTCCTTTTAGCTGAACATTTCGAAGACATCGACCCAGTCATCAGAACACTCTTCTTTTGTACACTTGTCCTGATGTGTGTCCTCTTCATCATACGTGAGTGGTTTTCCAACATCCTCAGCTTGCTTTACATGCACAGAAAAGTGAAAACACAGCATTAACAGTGTTTTTTTTAAATAGCATTTTTACTGAGAAAACCTCAGTTAATCTCAATACAATATTGTACAATATGCATATTTCAGATCTTAAAATGACTGTATCCATCATTTACACAACCACATCATTGGTCTTGACGTTTAATAATAATAATAAATTGAATTTGTAATGCACTTACATGAAAAAAGCATGTAAGTGCATGAAAAAAGCATGAAAAGAGCATGAAAAAAGAAGAAGACACGTTTAATGTCCATAGAACATTATTTAACATTAGTGCAAAACTGACTTTCAAAAGATGGTGAAACATATTTCTTTAGGACATTTTCTTATTGGTGATATGCAGTAAGTGTGTAGGATTTTTGTTTTAGATTTATTGCTATATATTGAATTGAATTCACATTTGTTTTTATAATTTATTTATTTTTGTACAGAATTGGCTAAAGAGAAGATGTTGTCATGCTCTGGAGAGTTATGCAGAAGGATGTACAGTAAAGTTGTACATTCTTGTAAACCACTTGTAGCAACTTGTAGCTTTTCATTGCTGCCTTCATTGCAGCTCGCCCTTCTGCTCTACACTCGGGTTTCCTCCAGTACTGGTAAGTAAGAACACTTTTGAGCAGATACTGATTGAGAATTAAGTGATTAACCTCCTAAGATACAGTAAAATAAATGTTTTTGTATTTAGTATTTTTTCATGTCATTACATTTGTTTAGAGCATAAAAAACAAAAGGAAAAACAAAAACAAAAAAATATTATATTATTTTTTTTTTAAATATTTTATTCATAATTATGTTTTGTCCTCTGTAGAGGACACCAGATCTCAGATGTTTAACAAAATAAAATATGAAATCACATGTATAGGCAAAAACAATGGGATTTTTATTTAATTTACCAATCAGTTTTTATATTTCAGGATTTTTTTTTTTAACCAAACTTTGTTTAAAGATTATTCTCAACTATATTATAAAGGATGTAACGGAATTAATTAATTTACCATTTTACTTTATGCAATATGTGGGTAAAATGGCTATAAATGGGTTTTACACTTTATCTAATTAGTCCTTTAGTCCTTCGGATGAGACGTTAAACCGAGGTCCTGACTCTCTGTGGTCATTAAAAATCCCAGGATTTCTTTCGAAAGAGTAGGGGTGTAACCCCGGCATCCTGGCCAAATTTGCCCAGTGGCCTCTGTCCATCATTGCCTCCTAATCATCCCCATATATATATATACACTAATTGGCTTCATCACTCTGTCTCCTCTCCACCAGTAAGCTGGTGTGTGGTGAGCGTTCTGGCGCAATATGGCTGCCGTCGCATCATCCAAGTGGATGCTGCACATTGGTGGTGGTTGAGGAGATTCCCCCTTCCATGTGAAGCGCTTTGAGTGCCTAGAAAAGCGCTATATAAATGTAATGAATTATTATTATTATTATTATTATTATTAATAATTAGCATATTAATGTGTTTTTGGATCAACGTGTGTAAAAATGGGAGTAATATTTGGCAACATTTAAAAAAAAAAGATCTAATGTTTCATAGATGTAATTTCTTTCCCTTCACTTGTTGTGTCTCAGGAAATGCCTGATAAACATGATTCAAGTCCTGAAGTCCTCTACAGTGGACATGTATGAAATGAATGCCCTGTTCTGTAATAGAAAGTCATATTTTGATTAGAAACCCCAAAACATTTTCCTGAGATGTTAATTTATAACAAAATTTGAAAATGAATTTTTTTTTTAAATGATTATCATATTTCCATATGAGGAAAGTTTTAAAGACCAATGAGAAGTTGTTGTCATGGTGAAACATCCAAACATTTGGTATCTCTGAAAAGCCCTGAATGTGCTTTTATATAAAACTGTGACACAAAACTTGCATGGTGTCAGAGAAATTCACTAAAATATAATGTCCTCAACTGAGGACAGTGGGTCCCAGGAGGTTAATATGCTTGAGGTGCAGTCATCTTTGTCTGCTTCTTACATATTCATTATCATAAATAAGAATGAAATAAGAAGCCGCTAATTTTGTTGTGACAATTTAATTTTGGTAACACTTCACAATAAGGTTCATTAGTTAACATTAGTTAACTACCGTATTTTCCGCACTATAAGGCGCACTTAAAAGCCTTTAATTTTCTCAAAAAACGTCAGTGCGCCTTATAATGCGGAGCGGCTTATATATGGATGGTGAACACACGTTCACCAAGACGCGGAGACAGCGCCGGCCGACTTACGCCACTACCTGGCAATGGATCGTGGATGCCTGGGCTGATATATCAGTCTCCTGTGATCCGAGCTTTCACGAAGGCTGCAGGCAGGAATAATCTCTTTATTCAGCCAGCTCATATACCCGTATTTACTTCCTGTTTTCGGCCGAAGTCCACAGTAGTTGATTGTCGAGTTCGCGCGCGCGCGATCAAACCTCCTCCACGTGTTCAACATCTGATTCGGATGAACTATCCGAATCCGAACTATCCATTTGAGCTGATATTCTCACATAGAGAACACCACACAGCACCGTCATCGGCTGACAGTCTGAGTCTCCACTGTTGCTTAGTTACCAATGATCGCGCGCGCGCACTCGACAATCGCCTACTGTGGACTTCGACCGAAAACAGGAAGAAAATACGGGTATGTGAGCTGGCTGAATAAACATCATTTTTATTCATATCTTTCACATTTACTGGAGTCAGATTCACTGTGTTCACTCACATGGCTGTGCACTTGTAATGACACATTAAGGTTGTTAAGAGGCTAAAAGCAGGTTTAAAACTTGTCCCGTTTAAGTCAACAGGGTGCAAATTTTAAAAAGAGGATAACACGGTGTAGGCAACACCGGTTTTTGTCGTTGTTATCTGTACTGACAGCACTCCAAATTTACCAAAAATGAGCTCAATGTTAAAATTGACCGGAGTTTTCCTTCAACGTTTGAACAACGTTACCATGGGAGTGAACGGAGTTGTCAGAACGCTTAATAAAGTTTGACTTTATCTGACTGTTTTGTTGACATTTGTTGACATCTAGTGGATGCATAACGCAAACGCAGTCAAACGTTTGACTGCAGTATCTTATGCGCTTTATAATCCGGTGCGCCCTATATATGAAAAATGTTCTAAAATAGGTCATTCATTGAAGGTGCGCCTTATAATCCGGTGCGCCGTATAGTGCGGAAAATACGTACCTTAGTTAACATGAACTAAGAGTGAACAATACTTCTGCAGCATTTATTAATCTGAGTTCATATTAATTTCATTTACTAATACATTATTAAAATCATAAGTTGTATTTGTTAACATTAGTTAATGCACTGTGAACTAACATGAACAAACAACGAGCAGCTGTATTTTAATTAACTAACATTAACAAAGATTAATAAATACCGTAAGAAATGTATTGCTCATTATTAATTCATGTTAGTAAATACATTAACTAACTTATTGTAAAGTGTTAATTTAATTTATTTTCTCTAACTATCTCTGTCTTTTTTAGTGTTTATCATTACGGTTCTTCCAGTGCTTCCTGTGATTCATTACTTTATTAACAGAACAAGTTGGATAAATCGATGCTGTAAGTGTGAGACATTATATCCTGCTCTGTTATAACTGCAGAAATAATTAATATATATGAAAAGTATTAGATAAATGCATGTCATACAGTTGAATATACACGTAAATGTGTTAGACCTGGTTCTGTCCCTCTGCACACTACATCAGTGAAAGGTAGTAGATCAGTGTCTCCATTATATATCAGCTGTTTTAAAAGGCCAGGCCGGTCTAATCTGAATTATGGCAGTCACATTTTTGGTTCTACTGAAAGTTGTGGCATATTTTTTACTCTTTCTTTCATCTTTTTAGGTCTTGGTCTATCTATATTAATATGGTTAATGATGATTGTGATGAGTGGAACGATGGTGTATTTGTACATTATTCTCTTGAGAAT